CATCCTATCAGGTTAACTGTCCTCTGATTAGCAGAAGACTAATGAGTAAATCAGAGAAACTGAGTCTACCCACCTGGCACAAGCATCATGATCTCCCAGCAAGAAGATGTATGTATTGAAATTTCCACCAAAAGAAGCCTGAAATCACTGCACAGGCCACCTTTGGGAAAGTCATCCAAGCCTCACTTCTTAGCAGTTACTATAGCTAACAGAGCTGTAAAATTTTTGCTTTTGCATCTGCATTTCTGAGTCTGGGTTCTCAAAATATGATACAATACAAGAGAGAAGAAAAATTGCTTTGAATACTGAACCTAACATGAGTGCAGCATCAGAAAATTCAGCCCAGTTTCTAGAAATGGATAAATCTGATTCATCTTACACATTAATATGTTAAACAGAAAGCACTTTTTTGTCCTTGATGGAAAATAATTCTTAAACATTGTTTTCATTTTAAATCTAAAATATCTATTATAGAGCAGCATGAAGAATGAAGGTGAATTTTTAAAATCAATATGAGATTTTAAAGAAATGTTTACAGTTGAAGAGCTTCAGGCTATTCATTGCACTCTGCAGTAGAATTTTGTGTTGAAAAAGTTTTTGAGAAAGATGGTTTAAATATAGGATGAGATTAAATTGGCTGAAGACATGAATAATACGAGAAAAAGTTAAAGAATTAAAACACATTCCTTCCCCTTTATGTCAGTGTTGCCCTGTCACTGATATATTCAGTTCTCACCTCTTCCATGAAGCCCTCAGGCTCACCTAGGCTCAGAGCAGCCTGTGGCTTGCTCTGAGTTGCTTCCATGCCTTCCATACATACACAGGTGTATCCACAGCCTTGATAATTACCTGGCTAGGCCATAGTAGTTGCTTCCTGACCAGAGGTCATGTCTTGTTATTTAGAGACTTTGACTATAGCATGGCAAAAAGAGTTCCTTAGTGCAGAACAATGGTTTGGCTCCAAAGGGGATCAGTCTAGAGACTGCCTCTTACACTCTGGCATAATTTATTCACTTGCTTGGAGCATCACTTACTGATTTATGACCAAAATCACTGTCAGTCTGTCCATGATTTCCTTGAATGATGGGAGCCAGTAATGAAGATTGTGGAGTTAATTGCTCAGCTAAGGAAGCTCTCCCCACACTGGCGCTTCTTCCAGCAATGTATGTTTCTTCACCTCCTACCACCTGTATCACATTTCCCCTATTGCCAGGCCCTAGTATATAAGGCCAAGAAGTCTGAGACCCTCTCTTGAGGCCCTTAAACTGATTCAGAGTCCAGAAGGGTTCCACTTAGGTCAGCCGTGGTTCTTGTGGACTGCCTAAAAGGCACTGTTTGCCTCAGCTAAACATGTCCTTCCTTTCCCCCCTGCAGACATAACCAGTGTGGTGCAATCCAAGCGAAGAAAATCCAAGTAAACAAGCTGGACGGCGACTTGATATTTGTAAATGTGTGTGAATTTTACAAAAAGCAATTTTGAGCTGTGACTTTTTAAAATTCATTTCTGTACAGTTAGTCATTTTTAATAATGTGGTCCTTTTCCTAGTCCCTGCAACCTGTTTTATAAAGTGCAATGGGGAAAGCAGAGTTGTTGAACCCTTTTGGTGTTGCAAGATGAAGATCAAGGTTTCTAAAATGTTGCCATGTATTGAGAGGAGCTAATGCGATTATGTTATTAGTTTTCACATTTCCTAAGCAGCCTAGAGTACAGGGTGAGCATTTTTAGATCTTCTAATAATGTACTGTGCTGTGGAAGTACTGTGTGTGAATAGCAGTAGTGGGGCAAAAGGAATCTTCTCATTTGGAAATGTTGTAAATAATTTTATTATATAGTGTTTTGGATGTATTTGTTGTAGAAATGGACCAGTGAATAAAGAGAATCTAAGGATTTGTACAATGTGAAATACTGAATGTGTTAAATAAATGTCATTGTCCTAGAACATAAATGTATGTTATTGGTAAAGGATTATTGGGAAAGCAAGCTCTTTCTCTGGACCATAAATGAACAGAAACAGCCTTCTTTGTGAATTAGAATCCCATCTTGTCCTTACTGCACCTGAGATGACTACCTGGCAAGTTGAGGAAAATGCACATACTTGTTCACTCAACTCATTCTGGGCTTGGAAGACACTAGCCCTTTTCAGCACTGTACCAGCACTTTGATATACATTGGTCAAATTTCTTTTGGTTGCAAATAACAGAATTAACTTAGGATCAAAGGCCACCCAAGATTTTCTAAAGACAGGAAGCCATCAGCAACCCAGATGGCACTTTTTCTCTACTTCATTCGTCGCTTCTCCATACATATGATGGATTGCTCCATAACAGCTGTGTTTACAACTCCTCCAGCCAAGAGATAAGCCCATACTGACCAGCAAGATTCTCTGTAACAGCATCAAGAATCTAGCCCAGTTTAGGTCATGTCTCCACCTTCAGTCCATTTCCATGGTTAGATGGAGTAGTTCCCAAATAAAAGTGGTCATTTTGTGTTGTATGCTTCAGAGATACCTATGTTCCATTCTTTGCTGCCCTGTTTCTCATCCGCATCTGGCTTGGGGTGACTTCTCATCAACATGCCTAGGTTTTTCCCTTTCCTGGCTCTATTCTTACCTTAAAAATGGTGGTCTCCAAATCAGCTGCTTCTGCCCCTACCCTACCCCCAACCTTTAGGGGACTTTAGTGCTTGGGATCCTGTCCTTATCTTGGTCTTGGTCTTGGCCTCAGCCTTCTGCTGTGTCTCCTACAGCTTAGGTATACACGCCATCCCTTCCCCTGTAGTTGTTCCATAACCCAATGCCTGAGACCAAAAGGATGAATCAGTGATTCTCATGCTTATTCTCATTTTTTAAAATGTGTCTTGCATTATAAAGATTCTCTCTTTTATGAGTCAGACCCCACATTGTCTGGCTCTGTTGCCAGCAAGCATATCTACACTCTACCTTCCCTGTATGACACACACAACCAGAACCAAAGCCAGCCTAATAATAATACCCTATGCCAGTACTGTGTTTGAGATTACAAAGTGCTTCTCCTACTTCAGCTGTACTCAGGAAAAAAAGCGTAATGTGCTTTAAATAGATTTTTATTTTTCTTTATATTAATTTTTTTTCTCCCATAGAGGAATAACATTACAGTCTAACAATCAGAATCCTGTTACACACATACACAGACGTGCCACATGACCAGGCTGAGGTGTTGTGTCCTTGAGTCTGTCAACATGTCACAACATGGTCAACCAGAGTCTCATTTCAGCCAGTATCAACAACAACAACAAAACACCCAAGAGGGATACAGCCAGCTTGTTGGTTCCATTTGGAACCAAGTGGCAGGGCAAGAGGGATGATAAAAGGGGCTATGTATGGTATGTCTGCATTCAGTCCCCTCACATAAAGCCACATAGATCTTAGGAGTCATCCAAGAGCTCTGGTGGTGTCCTTATTGCACCTAATATTATGAGTCAGAGCAAATTAATCGGGGTTCCAGGTGGGGGCCAGGGAGCAGGCATACTCCAAAACAGCAGCAAACTCCATTCATACACATGTGCTACTCTGCTGGGGCCAGATTGGCAAAGGCTGAAAATGACACCAGCTTGAAGAGAGCACTCGTGTATTGGGGGGTTACTGGAAGTTGTCTTTTGATGTAACTGGGACTCACTCTAGCAACAGGGGTCCCTCTGAAATACTCAGTTTTGGCAAAGTGCTGGTAGTATTGACATTAATTAATACTCACAACCTGGAACAAACTTCTCCAGGGAAACATCAGTCAAGACAGACTCTCTAACCCCCGCCTGTCTAATGTTGCATAGGACTTTGTGAATTCTGGTTCCCTCATGTATTCAAGTTCTGTGGTTAAAAAAAAAACCCTGAAGCATACTCAAGGTGAAAGGCACATACACAGTCAATACAGTATGATGAGGTGTGATGCTTCAGGAGTCAGACTAGCAGGAGACTGAGTAGTGTAGATTGTTAGAAATCTATACACAATTAAAATATTGCCACACTCAAATGCTACAGAAACTATAGGAAAGTATGAAAACATACGAGCCTTGCAACCAGCCGGGTGATGATGTTGGAGGGTTCTAGAACTACAAGAGCCTCCAGAAATATGGGTAGGATAGGGGCCTTTTGAAATTTGAGCCAAATGCCCTATAACTCACTCTTCCTCCTCTGGAAGGATCATGAGCACTGCCTAGAACTTAACCCAGGCTCCAGCTGGTAGTGAAGGAGTAGGAAGGAAGAGTTGGAAGGAGTTTCAGCTCTTGGAAGTGCTGAAGACCCTAAGCTGGCTGTGAAGTAACCAAGAATTAGCTGGAATAAAAAGGACTAGGTTGTAACTGAAGGAGAACCTTGGGGAGAGGAGCAAGGCTGTCAACTACTGGGGCCCTTGTGGACTGGCATGGGGACTTTGATCTGCTTTTAGTATAAATTTGGCTTACTCCCTTGGATAGGAGACCCCAACAGGGCTTCCTCTGTCCCTATCCCAGCATCCATGGGGCTACCCGCTACCTTATCTACACACCTGACACGGGGCTTAGGGTTATGGGGTCAGGGAGGGCAGCTGCCTTTGCCCTCATGGAATTGCAAAGTTTTCTCCAAACCTCAGGTTAGCTGTGAGGCCTAGAAACCTAGAAATTGGAGTGAGGGGGAAGACTTACATTAGTATGTAACAGGAAATCTTAAAAGTTTCGGGAAAAAGAGCACACACTGGAAAAGGACAGTTAGAGGGAAAGGGAAGCAACTCGGGGCATCCCAAGAGGCTTTTGCTGGTGTCTGAGCCCAAAATTCAATCCCACCATGAGAAGGGGAAAGCTGGCTGCCCTGTCCCTTTTGCCTCACCCAGGAATTCAGGTTCCCACCTTCTGTTACTTACTGGAGGAGAAGGGAAGGGAAAGGGCACCATAGGGTACCTGTTTCTCCCCAGCAGACTAGAAAGGAAAAGAGCCCTGGGACAGAAAATGAAGAGAGGCCTCCTAAAGGCCCTGAATCTGGTAAGGGACTATTTGGGAATTGGGGCAGTGGGGCTCCTGGCCTCCTACCCAGGAGTGTTTATTAGCCATCCTGGGCAGAGTGTGAAATACAAGACCAGAGGCAAGATGAAGACTGAGCTGTCAGTCTTGGAATGGTTTCATCCCACAGCTTGTCCTCCCCAGCACCATTCCTCTGCATTCTTATTCTGGGGTGTGTCCTTCCCCTGCCTAGAATCCCTCTGGCCTTCATCTCCCCTAAGCTAGTTCTAGCACCTTGGGCATGTGAACAGATGTCCAGGATGGTAGGGCCTTGCCCAGCCTTTAGTCCTGGGCTGACATGTTGGGGATAGGGCAGCAAGGTTCTAACTAAGCCCTTCAGATACAGGGGCCTGCAGAGGGGCTGATTTCAAGAAGAGGTTTGGGATCTGAGATTATAGGAAAGGGAAGTGGGAGCAGTTTCCAGGCTCTTGAGAGCAGGGCTTGGCCTCTCTGAGCAAGCACAGTGCCAGCCCCCATGGTGCCCTGTTCCACATAGCTTCTCAACCTGTCTGTCCTGTCTACATTTCCAATAGGTTGCCTCTTTTCCTAGATTCCCTCCATCTTCTCCCTCTAACTCACATCTCACAGTCCTTTTCCACATACTTTACCTTTCCATTCCTGAGCAACTCCAAGGAGCCCAGCCCCCAGAGGAGAGGGAAGGGGGAGAGAAAAGACAGAACGCTTTAGTATCAGTGGGAGAATTACTGGGAATGAGTAATAAGGGAGCAGGAGTGAACACAGTGCCAAACATGAGATAGGATGAGGCTTATAAAGTGGAAATTGAAGGTAGGGAATGAGGCAGATCTGGGACGGGAAAAAAGAGACTCTCAGAAATAAGACTGGACTAGAAGTAGAAGAGTGGAGGGCAGCGATGGAGGAGAATGTCAGCACAGAGATTGGGATGGGGACCAGAGGAGGAAAGATGGAGTGTCAGTGGTGGGGGAGATGGAGGATTAGATGCTGAGCATGGGGGCCAGAACATGGGAGGGCGAAGGGCAGGGAAGAGGTTCGGAGGTGGATTAGAGGATCACAGATGGGAAAATGGAGTCCAGGGGAGAGAGAGAGCAAGAGAGCCTATCACCCAACCTCACATACTGAAGAAGGAGGAAGGTTGTAGTGTTCAGCCCAAAGTGGGCTGCAGGCGACCCTCGAACAGCACACTGGCTGCGGCATAGGCGCTGGATAGGAGTCAGGAGTCGGTGAGGGGTTTGTGGCATGGCCGGCGGCTTAGTAGTTGAACTGGCGCTGGCACGGCTGGTAGACAAAGCTGCCCTGGTGTTTGGGCCGGCGCGGACGGCACTCACGGGCACGGTTCTGCCGTTGCACCACCTTGGCGCTCAGCGCATGGCGCTCGGCCCGCTGCCGGGCCCGCTGCAACCGCCGCACCTGGCCCGGCTTCTCCAGCAGTACCGCCCGCGCTGGCAGCGGGGCAGCGGCATGGTGCAGGGCCCGGGGCTCACGGCGAGCAGGCGCCAACTCCCTGCGGGGACAGAGCAAGTGGGTCAGGGCTGGACAAGCGGGTGGGGGACACGGAAGGGAGCGCTGGCACCTCCCACCCTGTGCGGGCACCCTCGCCCTGGCACAATGTCCCCATAGAGGAGCGCCAAGTGCCCTTCTTGTGAGTGCCAGCCCTTCCTCTAAGCCAACCTAGGGATGCCTCCTCGGTTCTAGCCCCTATGACAGGTAAACCAGGCCCCAGGGAAGGCTCGGCTCCAACTTTCAGTTCAGCCCTGGCATTCTGTATGAGCCTCTTGAACCCTACCCCAACCTGCCTCAGTACTCTGGCCTTGCGCCTCCAGCCTCTACTGGTCCCAAGCCTCTAAACTTTTTCTTACAAGCCTGACCCGGGCCACGAAACCAAGAGTCTCTGTCTCTCAAATCCCCTCCTCTTTACCCTCAGGCCTCGCTCCCTTCTGGTCCACGGGCCCTGTCCTTTGCCCCAAAGGCAAGTCCCGGCAGTGCCAGGAGGGCTGTAGGGCTCACTTCCCAAAGCAGGACCCTAGCCTCCAAGATGCCACTCTCTAGGTCTCCAGACTCTGCCCCCAGCCTGCTCACCTATCACTAAGGTCTTCGTCAGGCAGGGCAGCATCAGGGTGCGGGGGAGGGGGCCCAGGTTCCAGCACTATGGTACTGCCAGTGACGTAAACGGACATGCTGGGGTGCTCGATGAGGAGGTCTTCCAGAGGGCTGCTCTGGAGGCGCGCAGGCCCGAGTCCGGGCCCCTCTGCAGTAAAACAGGCTGGAGGGGTAACAAACCAGCTCTCATCCATCAAGGAGGGCGCAGGCGGAGGGCGGCCCATGGGGGAAGGAGCGACCCCAGGGCTGGGTGGAGTGGTGAAGCTGTCTGTGAGGTACAGGAGGGGGAGCCATGCAGAGGAGAGGGCACAGCAAGGAGGGACACACACACACACATCGGACACAGCGGGGCAGGGAGAGAAAAGGCATCATTAGTCAGACCCAAAGCCCGCCGCACCCACAGAGCACCCACAGCCTCAACCTGCTGCCCTAGGGTGCGTGAGGTGTGAGCTCCAACAGTTACCAACAGGATATGGCCCTGGCTTGCATGGGATGGGACCCTGTTACCCCACCTCCAATGTCACTGCCTCACCGCCACTTTACCCAGTAAACCTGAGGGAACTCCTCAGTCTCCTAGTATCTCCCTTCTAGGCTGCTCAGCCACTTGCCCTAATGATGACTTCAAAGACCCAGGAGTCAGCCTTAGCTCCCAACTCAGGCCTTACCTGGCAGGTCGATGATGAGCCAGCCATCCACTTCATCCTCCTCGGAGACAAAGGCTTGGGGGTAATTGGGGTCCTCGGGGGGCACCGGGGTGCTGAAGAAGAGACTAGTGAGGCGCTGGAACATGGTAGGGGCGTGAGGAGGCCTGGGTGGGGCGCCCTATGGCAGTGCAAGAACCTGGGAGGTGTAGAGAGAAGTCAGAGCCACCACAGACTGGTCTACCCCCACTCCTGCCAGGGGATACCACCACCAGCCCTCCATCCCCCACCCCTAGAGCAGTGAGAAGAGTACAACAAGGATGTGCAGGAAAGCTTTGCTCTGTGTGTGTGTGTGTTTTCTGGTAGGTCAGTCTACTTTCAGGCTTTTCTCTTTTCTGTATGACCTTAGGAAGTTATTTAATTTACCTGTGCTTTAATATTCTCATCTACCAAATGGCAATAATAATAGACAAATATATGTATGTTCATGTATGACTGAAGCATTGTGCTATACACCAGAAATTGACACAACATTGTAAACTGACTATACTTAAATAAAAATATATATTAAAAAAGTACATACACACACACACACACACACACACAAATAATAGTATCCTCCTCTCCTTATAAGAATGAAGTGAGCTAATAATATCCTCCTCTGGGTTCTCAAAAGAATTAAATGAGCTAAACCTGTGCTGAGAACAGGACCTGGGTACAGAGTAAGCATTCAATAATCTAAACACCTAGTTATTACTAATATTATTACATGCTCCAGGGACATGGAAGAAGTGATATATATGACCAGACTCTGTCAGAGAGGGTCTCCAGAGTATTGGACATCCAACCTGGACCTTCGAGGGTAAATAGAAGTTCTCCAAGCAAGGAAGAAATTGCCCAATATCGTGATTATTTATCATCATCATGTAGCTAACATTCATGTGCCAAGTACTATACTGAGCACTTTACCTATATTACCTCATGTAATCCTCACAGCTCTAGGAAGTGGGTATAATTATTTCCCCTCTTTTATAGGTGAAGAAACGGGCTCAGAGAGGCAAGATAATTTTCCCAAAATCTCACAGCTAGTAAGACAGAGGTAGGATTCTAACCCATGCAGTCAGATTCCAGATCACTATATTCCATTGCCTTTGCTGGGTGTCTGTCTGGATTAGGCATATTTAACTTAGTGGCCTGGGCCCATGGTCCATGTGTATTTTTCTTAAGAACCACCTTGGTTTTCATCATGATCTCCTAAACAGCAGTCCTTTACCCTAGAGACTAAGAACCAATACTGAGCCTGTGTGGCTTGAAAAGTGCTAGCTAGCAGAAATCCCACAGAACAGCTACCATCTCACCATGTGATCACACACGCCTCAACTGTCTCTCAGATGAAGATCCTATTCCCACAGTCCCCCCCACCTCCCACCCCCCTTCACAAGCTCCTGCTCAAAGGCAGCATCCCTGGCTAGATCAGGTTGCCTGGCCCCAGGCAGACAGCAGGTCAGTGGGAGGTGATGATGGAGGGAGGGAGCTATCAGATCCCAGGAGCCCTTAAGGATGAGGACTGAGGGTTGGACCAGGACTCAAGCCCTCAATCGGTCCTTCCCTGGGCGAAGATGAGGAAAGAGATCCCCTGCTTTAGGAAAGGAAACACCAGGCCCACCTCAGGACTAGACCTGAGCTAGGGCTGCTGGCCAGGCCCCCTCTCCACATCGGTCCCCAAAGATAGCCAAGTTTTGCTACTGAGCCACTTGTCACCTCTAAGGATATTTCCACACTTCCTATAGAACACCCTGTGGGGTCATGTCCACATTTCCATTCCCTGGAGACTGCTAACCCACCTGGGGTATTTCTATGGTTGTTGCTACTGCTCCCATTCTCTGAGTATGCTTGTCACCTAAGCTCTTTACCCTGAGAGTATTTCCACATTTGTGGACCCACAGTGGAATCCAGAAGGAAGTGCTCCCTGGGTGCTGGCTTCCCTGGTGGGTTATCTTCAGGAATTATGAAAGTTTGGGCCACCCCCAACTAGTGCCTGCCCAGCACAAGCCACATATCCCAGCCCATCTGTAACCATAGGGAGTTAGTGACTCAGTTAACAAAAATTCAGAGAGTTTGGCCCCTTCTGAAGGAAGGGAAGATTGGGGCCTTGGTGAGGCACACCCTCTATCCAAGGACCTGCTGCTTCACTGAGAAAATTAAAAGGAAGTTAAGAGATGTTTCAGGGACCATGATATTCACATAGCCCATTTTACAACCTGAGGATCTGAGAACACAAGTCTATCCAAAGACACACAGCTAGATGGTGGCAGAGCAGGCCTAGCCCCAGATCACTGAACATCCAGTTTAGAGTGTACAGAGTCAGGAACCCCTCAGTTAGCTATCCCCAAAAATAATGATGCAGGGGAGACGAGGAAGTCAGATAAGAGTCAGACCTTGAACAAGTCACTGAGTCTCAGAGCCTGTTTGTCCAGCTATAAAAGGGATTCCTGGCACCAAGATTCATCATGCATTTACCATTGCACTCACTGTGTACCAGAGTCTGGGCCTCCTCAAATTACAAACACTGAGGAAAAGGAGGCTTGGAGCAGGGAAGCCCCCTGCCTGAGGTCACACAGCAAGTCAGTGACAGAGCCAGAAGTGACAGCAGCACCAGCCAGCCAGTGCCCATCCCTTCTCATAACCACTTGGGGGAGGCTCCCAGGATTTTTCTTTCCCAGCTCTGCCAGCTTCCTGGTTCTCACATTCCCAGCTCTGCTCCAGGGAGAACCATTCCCTTTAATAACTATAGCAGCTGTGCCTGGAATAGACCTTGAGCCCCAAGCCACGTCTCCCCAGCCCACCCTTGAGCAAAGCCCAGGCTGGGATGGGACTCCTGGTCCAGTCTTAGGCCCAGCTACTTGGAAAGTCAGAGGCTCTCCTTCTCTTGCCCCTTCCCTGGCCCCTCTCTGTGAGCAGAAAGAGAGGCAGCACAAGCCTTCTAATCACCAGCACAAGGCCAAGTCAGTCCTTTCTAGCTGACAACTCTGGGGTTGGAGATGATGGAACTCCTCACCTTCACCTCATTCCAACATCAGCCCTGGAGACACCCTGATGCAGCCAGTGACCCACCTTTTTGTGGTCAGAACAGCTGGAAGGCAGTGATTTTACTGGGTTCTAGAACTCCAAGGTAGAGTGAGGTCAGGGTGTCAAAAGGGGACCCAATCTCCAGAGACTTCCAGGAAAAAGGTCCAGGAGTGAGGAAACCTAGGAGCCCTATCAAATTTAGATGGTGCTTAGCCCAGGGTAGAGTCCTCAGTGAAAGGAGGGTATGTAACTTGTTACTTGTAATGAGCTCCTACTAGGTATGTGTCCATGGCTAAGGCATCTGCCACTCACTAGGTAGGCACAACTCTTAATTGGCTGCATGACTTCAAGTAAGCCACTTCCCCTCTCTGGGCCTTAGTTTCCCCTTCCATGAAATGGGGTCTAAGACCCCTCATTTAAGGGCTGGGAGTGACATCAGCTAAGTCGCTGCACACATGTCAGGGATTAGGAGGATGTTATTATGTTAGTCCCATGGTTGCAGAGCCTGGAGCCAGAGGGAGGGGATTCCACCACCATCTGGCGCTGCCCCTAACGATCTGGAGCTGAAGCTCTAGGCTGCTCCCGAACTCCTAACGACAACCCCACCCCCAACCTAGACCCAGTAGCGCCGTCGCAACCTCTCAAGTCGCAAGGAGAAAATAAGGGATCAGAGGCTTGACCCCAACCCCTAGAATAGCCCAGGAAACTACCAAGGACCCTCTGGTCCCGCTGCCTTTAAGTGTTTCTCACCCACGAGCCCAGCCCCGACCCAACGCCCGACGGGTCATCGGAGGACAGATGACCCGAGGCGCGGGGGGAAGTGGGGCGGGGCCGGCCTTGGTGACGTCTCAATGTCATATGCAAATATCTAAACGTCATGGTCTACCGGGTGTGCGGCAGCCAATCTGGAAACGAGAATACAGCCCCGGCGGCTGCCGGCCGAGACAGACACAGACCTGGAGCTGGGGGCGCGGGGCGTTCCCGGGGGCGCGGGATCCCCCTGGCCAAAGCTGGTGGGAACTCACCTGGGAGCGGTGGCGGTGCGGCGGGCAGAGGTGGTGCTGAGGTAGTTGTGAGGCAGGACGTCCCAGGGTTCGCGGGTTATCACAGGCCGGGTCGCATCGCGGGGGCTGGGCGGGGAGGCGGCGGGAATACTGGTCGGAAGCTCCGGGTTGCTGCGCTCGCCCGCGGTGCTTTGAGTCTGAGCAGCCGCTGCTGCTGGGCTCACGGCACAAATTAGAACGTTCAAACAGCTGATTGTGACGTCACAAAGGGGCCCGCCCGCCTCGCGTCACCGACCCGCGGAGCGCTGGCCAATCCCAGGCTGCGGATTCCCCCTTCTCCGCCCCCTCCACGGTTCGCTGGCTAGTAGCTCCCTCCCGGGATCCCGACTCCGAGCCTAGGAGGTGCCTCCCGGAGAAGCGACTGCTGGAAACTTGGACTCCCTGGCCCAGGGCGACGCACAGACCTCTCAATGAGGAGGATTCCCACTTCTTCCTACGGGATCCCCTTCTTCCTGCACTCCCTCCGCAACCCCAGCGCCCTCACCCTTCCCACTGCCCCTCCTGTCCTTTCACCTGCATCCTATATCCCAGTGTCCCAATCTGTACCCTTTTCTTAACTCCACACCACCTCCGTGCACCTCCATTCTCCCCACCACACTCCTCCTGGCTCTCTTTTCAGTCTCACCTCCTCACCCCACACAATCTCTGCCTTCCCACCCCATTTTTCCTCCACTGGGCAGGCTTCAGAGGTGGGGGACATCCCTGTTTCCTGGTTCCAGGGAAGCACCCGGGAGTATAGAGAAGTAGGTTAGGTTGACAGGAAATTGTATGCAGTAGGACTTGAAGAGGAATTGCTCTGGGTTGAACGAACATTGACCTAGAGAACGTTTACACACCTTATTTACACCACGTAGTTACTGGGGCTGGACAGAGAAGTGACAGGACAGGGATTATTGGTTCCGATTTACACATGGGGAAACAGGCTTACAAATCCCACAGTTAGTGTGTAGATACACATACTCAATAATGCAATCAACAAATATTGAGTACCTACTATTGCCACTGCCAGACCAGTAGCTGACATTTATTGAATACTTACTGAGT